CCCTGGCCCTGCGATGTCTTATTATTGAGCTATCAAGAGCTCTTTACATATTCCAGATACTACATCCTTACCACTGAGCATCCCTAATCTGGAAATCGAAAACTTTAAGCGTTCACACTCCAAAACTTTTTGAATGCTAGCAGATGCCACAAGGGCAAACCCCACCTGATCTCCTGGGTCAGGTTGCAGTCACAACAGAGGTGGCACCACAAATGCCAAATAAAATGACCTTCAGGATATGTGTACAAGATATTTATGAAACAAATGACTTTCACATTTAGACTTGGGCTCCATGCCTGAAATATTTCATTACATACATGCAAATATTGGGAACCACCCCCTCATTCAAAATCTGAACTACCTCTGGTCCTAAGCATGTCAGATAAGGGACATTCAATTTGGGTTATGTTTTACAAATATTTTCTCCTATTCTGAGAGTTACTGTTCACTGGTTTGGATGTGGTGTCAGTGTGCTCCCCAAAGGTTCATGTGCTGGGAGCCTGGTCCCCAGTGTGGCTGTCTGAGGGAGTGGGATCTTGAAGAGGGGGAGCCCAGAGGAAAGCAATCACCTTAAATTCACAACTGGGTTAATGGCGTCTTGCAGAAGTGGATCAGAGTTTATGGGACTGGGTTAGTTCCCTCAAAAGTGGGCTGTTCAAAAAATTAAGCTTTCTCTTTTGCTTGCTATTTTGCCATATGTATGTATATATGACTGACTGTCTCTCTCTCTCTCTCAGACACACAGAGACACACACTCCTGCCATTACACCGTCCACCGTGCTGTGATGTAGCCAGAAGGCGGTAGGAGGACCGAAAAGCGCTAAATCTTAACTTTCAGCCCTAAAATGGTGAACTAAGTAAAACTCTTCTCTGTATAAAGTAAGTAGCTCCAGGTATTTTGCTATACCAACACAAAACTGGTAACACTGTCCTTTAAGGTTGAAAGTTTTAAATTTTAATGAAGTCTAACCTATCTGTTCTTTGTTGCTTGTGTAGTATTGTCTAAGGGTGAGATTTTTTAAAGGCAAAAGATTATGAAAATGTGGACAGGTAAGTTGTCCAAGCTCAAAGGAACTAGGCTGGCCATTATTTACTTAACCCCAAATTCCCATTTAGGTGGCACATCCACTTTACCTGGCTGAAGGCCAGTGAGGAAGCTACCCACCTAAGTTTTTAATTAACTAATTTTTGGATAGTTATTTGACCTCTGAATGTTAAGTGTTCAAGAAGCTGCAAAGAAACCAATCTCTAGTAAGATCTGTATATTTTCAGTGCTATATGTCATATCATCTAAATTTTCATAGTCCTTCCTAGAATTGAACTTTTTTTTTTAAGCATTTAAGATGGAATTTAAAACTAACATTTTCCTCAACTGTGTAAAGATGAAGACTGGCACGGCAAGGCCTCAGTGTTCCATAACTTCTCAATAAATACTAAATAGTGAATCGGGATTATGTAATTTTCCAATTATTTCCCAAAGAGTTGTAATTCTATTATTAATTTTGCTACCGAAAAAAAGCCCTTAATGCCCTGACAAAGTTATCCAATACTTCTGACTACTTTTATTATGTAAACCTACGTTTTGATTAAAAAAATTTTTTTGGTTTCAAACACTTTTTGAGTCATGATGATGACTGCACAGCAAATACTAACGTTCTGCACATGTGTGCACCACTGATGGGAATGTACACAGTACTACAGCCATTTTGGAGAAGTAATAGTTGCTCAGAAAGTTAAGCATAACACAAAAAAGGTTAAAATAGTAAATTTTATGTTTGCACGTTTAACCACAATTGTAAAAAGAGACAAAGGAGAAGACAAGACAAACCAATCTGAGTATCTGCTGGCAGGTAACCTTGGGACATTCAGGAAAACCTGCCGAGGAAGGCACAGTGCACTGGGCACTCAGCACACACCAGAGAAGCACAGGAGGACAATGGGGCTCTCCAGAGTGGTCTCTAAAGACAATGCGAGGCTCCCCAAGGGTTCCCGCCATACTTCCCCTGACTGGGTGGTCTCCAAACGCAATCGAATTTCAGTATTACAATAGGGTTCTTCCTAGACAGCCTTTTATTCGTACCACATAGGCCAGGGTCCTCTTAAACATGGATTTAAGGTATGTCAACATTTTGGTAGATGACGGTGGTGGTGTTATTTGCTGTGTGCTGTGTGTTATTCGCTGTGTGCAGGACACTGCATATATTGTTTTGCTTTATGCTAACAACATGTCTCAGTACTAAAATGAGAAAAGAAGAAAGCAAACTCACAAATTACCTCTTTGCAGTTTTAAAAGAATATTGCTTTTATGTCTGTTACGGTTCAGATTTGAAATGTCTCCCGAAGTCCCACGCGCTCAGAGGTGGGCTTTCGGAAGATGACTACATTATGGAGATGCTGTATTCATCAGCAGATGAATCCACTATTGAGTTCACAGCTGAGTATCTGTCAAAGGTGCTTCGCTAGAGGGAGGTGGGTCACAGGCGGTGTGGCCTGGATCTTTCCTTCCTCTCTGTTCTACCGTGGGTTGAGCAGCTTTTTTTCCACCGGACTCTTCTACCATGAAGCCAGCCAGCCAGAGACTGGTCTCTCTGAAATGGTGAGCCAAATAAATCTCTCCTCCTCTAAGTCATGCCAGGTATTTTGTTTATGAAAAAATATTATGAAAAAGACGACTAATGCACTGTCTAAAACAAGTAGAATAACATTTTAAGAAAATACTTTTGTTCATACTTTCAAAGTAATAAAGCATGTTCAGTGAAGTTTGTAAATTTACAGAAATCTAGGATTCCCAAGGATACCAAAATCTACAGGTGCTCAAGTGCCTTATATAAAACAGCACAGTATTTGCTTACAATATATGCATATTCCGTATACTTTATCTCTAGATTACTTATAATGACTAATACAATGTAAATGCTATACAGAGTTCTTATACTTTTTTTTTTTTTTTTTTTTTTTTTTTTTTTTTTTTGGTTTTTTGAGACAGGGTCTCACTATGTAGTTGAGACTGACCTGGAACTCACTACGTAGCCCAGGCTGGTCTTGAACTCACAGCGATCCTCCTGCCTCAGCCTCCCAAGTGCTGGGATTACAGGCATGCACCACCACACCCGGCTTATACTATCCTGATTAGAGAACATAAAGAAATAACTATACATGTTTAATATTGACATTTTTCTAAATATTTTCACCCTAAGAGTGGTTGAATCCAAGGATGCAGACCCCACAAATAGAGGACTGTCTAGCCATAAGTGCAAATTACAATGTATCACTTCTTTAATGTCTAAATTTAGGAGGTCAGATTTTTCAAAAACTTATTGAAGCCACATAAACTTTTCTATAACTTCTTCTATAAATGTAATAAGCACCACTGAATATAATTTCATCCTAAATTGATCCAGCTTATGTACCGTATCTTAAACTTACTCTTACAGTACAGATAGTCTAGAACAATGCCTCACTACGGTAAATGCTCAGCTGCATGAAGAGATGAATGAATGAAAAGGACCGAGTCATAATCTGAGTCGGTTTTGGAAATGGGGGGATGACATCATAGGCTAAAATTTCCTTATTCCTAGATCACAGCATTATTTTATTATGGCAATGAAATAAAATCTATTATCTTTTCAATTCAATGCTACAGACACACCAGATTCTCCTCCCCAGGGTGGAAGAGGAAGGGGCGGGGAATAACTTATTACACCAAAAGCAGCTCATCTAACTACAAGAGGGTTAGATCAGACGGCAGACAAGCCGAAGGGTACTGATCTCACTTAACACTCAGTGCCTACCAAAAATTGAGATGAAATGTTCTACTTGCATAAGACCTATCATTCACTTGACCTTTATCTCAGAGACGATGGAGGAGGCTCACTATAAAATATGATTTTTCTCATTCCTTTCAGTAGCATTCAGTTCATACTGCATACTTGCTGTGACAGCCAAGTGCTTACAAGAGAGAAATACTACACAGGCAGCAATTCCTCGGGACTATGCTGAGATTGCACTACATTTCCCCCAGAGTTCCTATGCTACAGTTCTAACCTCTCATACCTCAGAATGTCACCTTATCTGGAGACAGAATCATTGCAGACGTAATTAGTTAAAATGGGGCCACCCTCCAATAGGATAGAACCCTAATTCAAGGTAATTTTTGGCCTTATAAAAATGGAAATCTGGACACAGACATATGAGGAGAAATGCTATGGGAAGGCCCGAGTCATGCTTCCATAAGACAAGGAATGACAAATTTAGAAGAAAGACTGGGAACAGATCCTTCCCAGCTCCCTCAGTGTGAGCATGGCCTGCTGACTCCTCAATTTCAGGCTTTTAACATCCTGACATCTAGAACCATAAGGCCATAGAGTCCTGCAGTTCTAGGTCACCTAGTTTGTGACACTTTGTTACTGTAACTCTAGCAAACTAACGAAAACCCTAACAGCCCATACAGGGCAGCTTGCCACCCCCAACCCAGTACATTCGACTGAGCCTTCCACCCATAGCTGTGGCCAGCACATGAGCCCAGGCCCCCACACCTCACCCTTGAGCTGCTGCAGCAGCTCAGGTCTCCCTGACGGCAGACTTGACTTCCACCTCCTTTGATTGCCAAACCTTGTGCACTCCACCAAGCATTAACTTTTCAGACGCCAACTTTGTCTCCAAGGTTCCAGCGACTCACCATTTCCTTTAGGAAAAAGCTCAATTCCTCCTGTCTACCTTTCAGGCCTCTAAGAGAGCTGCATATGCTTGGTGAGATTCACTACCTGTTATTCTTGATGCCACACCCTCCTCCCCTGCTCGTCACTGTCCCTTTTACGAACCCTACAAAGAACACATCCTAAAATCCCAAGAAATACTACTTAGGGCTCTTCCTTCGACTGAAGGCTTGAGAGCTGGAACAAACCTACAGATTTAATACAATCCTAATGGGTCCACAGATACTCAAATAATTTAAAACAACCACAAACGGGGAAAAGTACTTTGAGACTCAAGTTATTTACCATTCTTCATCACTACGTTGGACCAGACGTTGGCATTCAAGGCTTGTACAATTCGCTTTACTCCTGTAGATTCAGGGAAGTCATCTAATCAGTGGAAAAAATATACATATTAATATACACTCACACATATCTACAATACACATCCCCACACTTACATACACACGTGTGTGCATGCACACGCACCCCTAAAGCCACACTGTCAAATTACCATGGTTTAATTATCTTATTAGTTGTTACTTCACACTATAATTTGTGTACTAAGGAAAAAAAAACAGAGCAATACAGAGCTCAGAGATCCTGATAGAAATATTCTGCAAACTGAAATGATTAAATAAACACAATATATAAAAGAGATATATAATAAAGTCATTCCATTGCCTCAGAATGAGTGGAATCCACTCATTCTCCTGAAAATGTAAATTTCCATTAATTACACAATCGTGGCCTAGTACCAAAGACACTAGTCTTGGTTATTTTCAGAGAGATCATTTTCTAAAGGCAGCACAGAACTTTAAGTACATGATAACACACTGTGAATGCTCCGTCTTCCACTGGAAACCACTGGATAACTACTGTCTCTTTTGAAGTATTTAGAGACGAGTCCCTTAATCAGAGAAAGAGTTTAAGCATGAACGCCTGATCATACTCAAAATAAAAGGGCCATAATCCCCAGTAGCATAGCAATAACACAATGAAATTCTTAGCTAAAAGTCAGGTATCGCTATGTACAAAGCAAACAGTTCCTTTGGATATTGAGGACTATGGCAGAGATCATGTGCATGCGGACAGAAGGGAAAAGAGTTTGCAGAGCACATTCCCCACAGAACCTGTCGCTAGTGCCCTAGCCCTGGGAGGCTTAACATGAAGAGCCCAGAAGCAGAAGTCAGAAGATCTGACTTGAACCCAGGCCTGTAACTTAGCTTATATGACTAAGGACAAATCATTGACACTATCCCCAAAGAAAGGCACAGCAGGAACTACTCCTTGCACACCTTTCCTGGAGGAAAGGCCCCTGGGACTGATGATGCACTGATACAACTTTTGCCCTAGGCCAGAAAACCTACAGGGCTTGAACTGTGTCTTCTTACTCGGTCCCTTATGCTCTACTGCCTAGTAGGTGCCCGGAGACGGCAGGCACTCAGCAACCGTTTCATGGGCCGACAAATCATGTGAAGAATACCAACCTAACAACAGCATGAGATTAAACTGAAAGGAACTACAAAGGCAAGCTTATTGCCATCGGTGTTTGGGCAAATATGTTAAGACTCTACTGCCGTAGGTGCCCGGAGACGGCAGGCACTCAGCAACCGTTTCATGGGCCGACAAATCATGTGAAGAATACCAACCTAACAACAGCATGAGATTAAACTGAAAGGAACTACAAAGGCAAGCTTATTGCCATCGGTGTTTGGGCAAATATGTTAAGAGGCATATTTTTCTTAACTATTAATGACTAATACCTTAGGTGTTATATCCAGGAAATGAAAAACTGGTTCTGAAATGAAGAGTTAGAACCAATAAGAAGAAATTTAATACAAACAAGCATAAATCTTAAGTGGGTGTTTGAATATAAATGCAAATAAAAGGTAAAGCAATAAATATGAGTTGGAAACAGTTTGTATTAAAAAATTCTAGGAAAGTTTTTGTTCCCTTGCCTAAAGATGATATATTTAAAAAATTATTTTAAAATTAATTTAATTAATATGAGAACATTGTTCACAGTAAGAAAAAGAAGAAGAATGGTATAAAGGAGAAGAAATTCCCAATGCTAACAGTCAAATTCTGACTCCTAAGGATAACAGGAAGCAAACTCTGGTGCCAGAAATAAACAATTCCATACATTGTCCAAGTTAGGCATAGGTTTTAGGGGACCTTTAAAAAAACAGAAGGGGAAACTTACTTGCTAATTTTCAATATTCTTAAAAATGCACAGGAATAAAAATTGGATATACTTCATTTTTGTTCCTCTCTGGCATGATTTTATTATCAAAGGTAACAGCGTTTTGGAAAAAGTCTAAACCAAAATATAGGAATAGATTTCTTAGTTTTTTCTTTTTTAGAAGGTTGCATGAAATGGCTGATCACCTCTGATGTACACGCTTTCACTCATATTGGCTGCCCGTGCCTAAAATGAGATTTGGAAAACTGGCATCTTATCACTGCTACCTCCTCAAGGGTCTGCTAGCTACAGGTCCAGTGCCTTTGCACTGCCTTCAGAGTAGCTGACATGGAAGAGTTCACAGTACATACAAACCATTCTCTGCATTTCTAAACCAAAATACAGTGATACCTCGGTATTCTCCATGAAGTGGTTCCAGAAGGCACCAAACAAAATGATTTGGCTGGAATGGCAGTAAGGAACAAGGGAATAGACTCTACAAGTTCTAACTTGTGTATTGAGTTCTAAACCAGTGAATACCGGGCTAAAATTTTTGTAGCAAAATGTGCCGAGTACCGAATTTGACATGTTTCAAAGCAGTCCAGTTCTAAAATCTCTCCTGTCTTTGACATACCACAGCACCAGTATTGCTTCTTGATACTATGACATTCCATTTGATGACTCAATTCTTTATATCCACTTTTTTTTTTTTTAATATCCACTCAATTCTTTATATCCACTTTTTTTCTGGCCTAGGGCAAAAGTTGTATCAGTGCATCATCAGTCCCAGGGCCCTTTCCTCCAGGAAAGGTGTGCAAGGAGTAGTTCCTGTTGTGCCTTTCTTTGGGGATAGTGTCAGTGATTTGTCCTTAGTCATATAAGCTAAGTTACAGGCCTGGGTTCAAGTCAGATCTTCTGGCTTCTGCCACTTTTTTAATATCAGATAAAAGGTTTTGGTGGGCCAAAATCTATCTTTGGCAGATCCCATAGAGGTATACTTTAAAGAAAAGAATCTGGGAGTCAAAACATTTTTTTACATTAAAAATAATAAAAGAAAGAAACACAAGGTCCAGGTGGTAGCATAAGGCAGGTAATAAACAGCTATGTATGGAGAGAAGGACACTCTGAGTTTACTGTTGATTTCAAGTGTTCTGAACACAAATAGTTCTGACCTGGCCCCTACAGTTCTATAGTTTATTATAAATGCAAAGAAGGAACAGAACTTCTACCTATAAATGTAAGTCTACCTTCCTTGTTTGGCAAAAGGGGAAGGATAAGGGATCAGAGAAATGACAACCATTTTAGATAGAAATTCTGTACTGTCATCCACTGAAAAAAAATTTCCAGTCCTAAAATGGATGGTAAAACCAAAGAAATGGACCATTACATTATTGGTAAGACCACAGCAGTGGATTTTGCACAAATCTTTTCCAAACAGCTGGGAGAAGGGGGCAGTGTTTCTTCAATTTCCCTTTGTTCCTCTCCGGAATTCAAAGTCTTTTGTATCTTAATGCAAATGCCATCTTTTCTACCAAGCCATGTACACTCACCGTCTTCCTCAGGCAACTCCTCTGGACTAAGCTCCACCAATTCAAAGCCGTGTTTGATGCACCATTCTTGAGCTTTTTGTCTGCTTACTCCTAAAATATGCAAAACAATCTTTATAAGTAGAAATAAAATATGACTATCCTGTGATACTCTCCACAAATCTCAATGCTTTTCCTTAATGTCAATGTTACTCTAAAGACATCTAGAATATAGTAACAAATAAGACTTTTCAGCTCCAAAGTATCCGTTCTTTTTTTTTTTTTTTTTTTTTTTTATTTTAATTCGGTACCAGGGACCGAACGTGGACCTTGTGCTTGCAAGGTAGGCGGCGGAACCACTGAGCTAAATCCCCAGCCCCAAAGTATCCATTCTTAAGAACAATGTCAATATGGTAAGATTCCAAAAATAGCTAAAAATATGTGTAAAGTGACAAAGTTACATGAGATATGCAGTTCTAAGAAAACAAATGCACTCTGTCTATTACAAATGGCTAATGCGTGTCCCAGTGACATCCCATCCCCAGGGCCTTTACCGTCTTCACACACTCTGTCACAGACCAAGATCATCACCTCTGGTACCCATGCTTCTGCCAGGGGGAGCCACGAGGAGACGCTGTCAAGGCCTGATTTCTACAGGGAGAAAACAAACATAAACAAAAACAGAAAAGGAGATATTAAGAAAACTCACACAAGATAGAGAGGAAAAAAGAAAGCATATGATCATCTCTTATTCAAGGCTCCATGGAAAACAAAGTCTTACTTGTGAGCTGTCAAAGTAAACCACAAATGCCTGGACAGACTCTGCAATTTCCGGGGTGACAAGGAACTTGTTTGGCACCACACATAGATTAATATCTGCTGAGTAGTATTTATTATCAATGGTCCAGGGGTAGAATCTCACCGCGTCACTGGAAGTTGCTTCCACAAGATCTTCTGTTCCAAGGATATCTAAATAAATGACACAACATTACCAAGGGAAGGGCAAAACCTATACCGTGGCCGATTTTCTCAATATAATACCAGATTAATCTGGTACCCTGGCTGCTTTCATTTATGCAAGGATTCCAAAGGGCCCTACATTTATTAGGGTATTTTCTTCTATGATCATTTGATTAAAAAATAATGATATGATTTAAGACACTGGCATTTTTTTCCCCTTTAAAAACACAAAAACTGTCTAGGTTAGACAGGAGATAAAAATGGTCATGTGATTATTCAGAAAAGACTGAGTAGAGGGCTGGGCTGTAGCTCAGTGGTGCCAGGTGCAAGTTCCTGAGTTGGATTCCCAGTACCAAAAAGAAAAAGGAAAGACTGGGGCCAGGGATTTAGCTCAGTGGTTCCCGGGCCTGCCCTGCAAGCACAAGGTCCCAAGTCTGATCCCTGGTAACATTAAAAAAAAGACTGAGTAGAAGAGAAACAATGGTAGGTGCATTCATTCTTTTGCTTAAGTACTTCATGGGAGATGGTGGATTACAAGAATCTGCAAGAATTTCTATTTTGTACTTATTTCATGCTAAAAGATAGGATTAAGGCAAAACCATTAATAAAACAGAAGAGCTACATACATTCCCCAGGCTAAGTGCTTAGACATTAATTCAATTAATGAAACAAAATAGATACTGACAAATTACCTCAGTTCCATCTATATTCAGACTTGTTTCGTCTTTGAAAGCCAACCCAAATTCCTGCTTGACTAAGACAGTGCTGGCAAATAAATGTTAAATGTATAAAGCCAAGCAAATTAAATGTTTTAGATTATAGCTAAAGCCTTCAGAAACCCATATGCAGCATGGGGATAACAGGAAACCTTCATAGTAGCAGACACATCAGCAATTTGAAAAGATGTGCCTGCCCATGAGGCCACCAAAGTGTTCTGTTCCCTTGTGTTATACAAGGTTTAGGACTGGAACACACAGCAGACATTGTTCTACTCAGACTCCTACCTAGACCCTCCATTTAATATAGATGTGTAAAATGAGCTTAGAGGAGTGAAATGATCCGTCATTACTGCAGTCATAAGAATACTGAAAAATGGTCAAAACTGCCTTTCCAGTGCATTCAAGACAAATGTAAAGTAAACCTCAAATTCATAATTCGTAGTATACTGAAAACTAGAGGTTGAATTTTAAATTCCAAAACTAAGATTATATGGTACATTTGGAAAGCTGCCATCATTTCTGCTTGATAAAGATATGGTGAAATTATTTAGTCTGGAAGATTGCTAAGAATAATGCAGGTGTCACACACAAAGTCTGAATGTGTGCATACATTTCTAAAATATGAAAAAATGAAATATCCCCTTTTAACAAAAAATAGCCAGGTGTGGTGGTGCATGCCTGTAATCCCAGCACTCGGGAGGCTGAGGCAGGAGGATCGCTGTGAGTTCGAGACCAGCCTGGGCTACATAGTGAGTTCCAGGTCAGTCTCAACTACATAGTGAGACCCTGCCTCAAAAATAAATAAATAAATAAATAAATAAATAAATTTAAGATTCTGTATTTGATACAAAGGTCATGCTGTGAAATGAATGTTTCCAAACATTTTACCAAAACCAAAATTGTTACTCTTAAATGAACAAGTCTGTGCCCACATTTGAAACTCTGATCCCTTATCTTCTTCAAGAAATTAGAAGTTCTTTCTGCTTAGTTTCTACCCAAAGTCATAGTTTTTTATTTAATGTTAATCAATTCCACAGCAACCAGCAAGTGTTCCTCGTGGAGCACTACAAGGAATTCAGGGGGGAATTCAGTAGGAAGAACAACTGAGTTATTAAAATCAAAGGTTCTATTTTCATGAAAACGTGTCACACACAAAAAACCCAACTCCCAGATCAAAGTCTGCCTTACACCGCAGGCTACCTTCCAACCAGAAGCAGGGCACACCCCACACACCAACACATACCACCCCTTGGCAGATGGGAAAAGTTAAACTAAACCAAGAAGAGTGAATGTATGAATATATATGAACCAGCTTTTTCCCAAACGGTGGGAAGAGCCCCCGTATGAAATCAGTCTTCATTTGTTAGTAGCTTTTTTAAATGATGAATTCACTACTTTTTAAAATGGGGGAAACAATGAACATCAAATTCACTTATTATTACAAGGCAAAGTACAAAGGCCAAGGGACTAATATTCCTACTGTGGCCATAAAAAGTTCTTATTATTTCCTAAATAGGCTGTATAGGTAAAAATTGCAATCAAATTTGGGTTATCCTTTTTTTTTCAAATTAGCGTCTTCAACTAATGTGAAAAATGAAATCAATTAACACAGCATATACCTTACTACAATTTTGAAGATTTGAATCTATTAAGCATGGTTCATTTTATGCACATTTAGAATAAAAGGAAACAATGTCACTCAGTGCTCTTAAAATGTCACTTTTGGGCCAAGGATTTAGCTCAGTGGTGCTGCCAACCTGCCTCAAAAGTGCAAGGTTCTGAGTTTGATCCCTGGTACAAAAAAAGAGTCACTTTTATATAATCTTTGATTTTTACATGATTAAGATATGTACTAAATACATAAAGCTGCTTTATACATACATATATTACATAAACACACAGCAGAATACTATTCAACCATAAAAAGGAATAGAAGTCTGTCAATTGTAACAATGCAGATGAACGGGGGCCGCATTATGTTAAAATTAAGTCAAGACAGGCATAAAAAGACAAGAATTATGTGATCTCATTCATGGGTGTAATCTACAAAACATGATCTTACAGAAGTTGGGGGTAGAATGGCGGTCGCTGGAAGCTGGGGTGCTGAAGTGGGGGAGGGAGATGTGGGCTGGTAGTTACAGGTAGATAGAAGGGAAAATAAAGGGCTGCCTGGGGCTAGGAGCGGGGAGAACAGGAGGACCAAGGCTGCCTATGGTTAAAGTTCTCAGAATTGAACGGAGTCACTGCTCCTACACATTAATGGGTAAACTGAATTGTATTTCAAAAAAATTGCTTTTAAAAATGAATAAATAAAAGCAAAAAGAAATAAACCAAAAAGGGAAAAAAAGCAGCTATTTCTTCTTTTTCTAAACCCAGATGGGAATAGAACCAAGGAGTTAGGAAAATGAAATTCACATTTTAGTAGCTGGATATGTTTTGTTTTGTTTTATTCTCTGTGCTGCCTAAAACAAGTTGATAGCTCAATTCACTTATCTGGTTTTTTTCGTTTTTAACATTTTATGTCTAATCAGATACTTTCAGTGAGGATGCATATGGTCTTTATTATCACATCTGTGCTGTATTAGTACCAGGGAGAGAAGAGTGAAGACCGGCTTGTTCCAGTTCTTAGCATCAATATCTTAATGTAGAATTTAATTGTAAAAATGTAAATGCCTATGCTAAAATTAGCTTTCCTCCTTCATCTTTTCTATTTGGCTTCAAATGCTTAACAAGTTTATTCTTCATCAAATTAAAACAAAATCACCAAATGCTGGTGCAAATGGCTGAGAGTTTCGAGATGAGGGAGAAAAACTCACTCATTTCACAGATAAGAAAACCAATGGCCAGAAAAAAAATTAAGTCACTTGTAAAAGGAGCAGAGCCTAGAGCCAAATCAGGTCACAACATCTTTGTTATTTTACTACGATGCTCTACCAGAAGCCTCTGAACTAGATCACACGCAAGGGTCTGACAGTCACAAGCCCAAGTCAACCCGGGGTCTACAGTATCCTCTGCCCTTTTTAGGAACATAAAAAACAACAGTCAGAACTAGGGTGCCATTATACACAAACCTGCAGGACAAATAACCCATAAGAAAACTGTTCAAGTGAGTCATACGAATTTTTAGAGTTTTTTTCTTATTGGTGTTTATTGTCAGATAAGACTCAGAAAAGCCTGCAGTGGTCTATCTCTGCTCTTCTCTAGACTGAATGTTGATGTCATCAACTCTAACAGGTACAGATTCCAAAGCAGCTTTGCCCTCCTCCCGGTCAGTGTCAGCCCGTCTCACTCCTGGAGCTGGCAGCCACCTGGTGGAGCTGTAATACATATTTTTTTAAGAGACAAACACGAGGTGATTAATTGCCAGGTCTGTTACTACACACTTGGTTTCACAGCATAAAATAGTTAATTTGTAGTGCTTTTACACAGGTGTTACAATGCTGATCCAGTTCCAATAACACACCTACACCTTTCCCTGGCTTCAAGTCATAGTATAGCACCCCCTGCAAAGAAAGGAACAAAAACCACTTACCCCACTAGAGAACCTGTTCTTATGTGGACATCAATTCTATTTAATTTTTCACTTCCTTGGTGAATTCATTTCCCATGTCACCCCACAGGGAAGTTATTGAAGAGATCTGAATTCAAAATAGCATTTTCAGTTTAGTGGCCCAACACCTCCCTCCTCCTCCTGGCCAGCCTGCATTGCGGTCTATCCTCTCAGAGGTGTTGATTTGTAACCAAATGAAAGAAAAGAGGCAGCTTTCTAGGGTTCAGAATCAACACGGTAATCATTTTTCTTATCATTAGGAAGCAGACTGAAATTCAAGGTGTGTTCTCCAAACACCACAAATATCCACCCTTAGATACAAACACCCCCAAATCTCCACTTCTTATATGGTATGTATCCATCCCCCTTTACCTGCCCACCTCAGCCAAAAAAAAAAAAAAAAAAAAAAAAAAAAAAAAAAAAAAA